ATGACCGCGGCCCGTGAATTCTTTATTATCGATTTTAACACTTACCGTAAATGTGGGACTATTTGCCGGCCCTTGCCTTTCCGCCGTAAACCGAAAACCGGGTTTCGATTCGTTTAATAGCCTCGAAGCATTTGCACGGCTGCCCGTCGGCGCTTCCGATCGTCCGTCCCGCGAAGAAATGTCTTTTCTTTTTAACAATTCTGTCGAGTTAATGTTGAAATCATCGCCGACTTCCATTTTGATCTTGCAAATTTCAAAATACTGCCCGAAATTAAATTATTTTTATGTTCGAAATATAGAGCGAGTGCACGTGACGTCACACGACTCCGCTTACGAAGCGCGCGCCATGTTGGTTTGGTTGTCGACCTCGATGTAATTTATGTTTGTAAACTTTACTGTTTGTTTTAATATTTTTCTTTGTAATTTTAGTTTTAAGTTTATCTTATTATTATTTTGTGATATTCTGTCAATCTTAAGTATACTATATATTCACTTGTAAAATTTTTCTGATAATGCTCTACAGCGGGGCCAAAAAATGTACATAATACTGTACCTAATAAATTAAAATGAATGTCGACCTCGATATTGTCATCTAACTCGTATTTTTTCAAATTTAATTTTAATTAATTATGATTCATTACACTACCAATTGAACTGCTTACAGTTAGAACTAAAGATTCTGTAACAAACAATTGAAAAAGTTGTCACAATTTGTTGTTCTAATAAACTTATCAGACAGTGTAGTTTCATTTGATTAATATAATTTTAATTTGTTATTCGAGGATGGAAATTTTTTGTCAACCGAAGTTCCAATAATACGTAAAATAAATAAATTTTGATTATTAGTCAAATGAATTACAATATTTATTCAATACTGCAATACTTTTTGGATTTTCATTTTTTTGCTTAAAAGTGGCAATTTTTACATCAAACTAAACAATTTGCTGTACAGTAAAGTATTTTATTCTATAAAATTTATACATTTTCTGAATCTTTTTGTGGGAGTNAATTTCTAAAAATCCCTTCTTAGTGTGCATTGCCATGGCTTGCCCTACTAAAACGCAGATAAAAACAAAAAATTGCATCTAAAATAGCACAGTAGAAGCCGTTCTTCCGGTTAAGCCTTAATGCTCTCCCTCACCCCCCGCAAGGGAATTTCTAAAAATCCCTTCTTAGTGTGCATTGCCATGGCTTGCCCTACTAAAACGCAGATAAAAACAAAAAATTGCATCTAAAATAGCACAGTAGAAGCCGTTCTTCCGGTTAAGCCTTAATGCTCTCCCTCACCCCCCGCAAGGGAATTTCTAAAAATCCCTTCTTAGTGTGCATTGCCATGGCTTGCCCTACTAAAACGCAGATAAAAACAAAAAATTGCATCTAAAATAGCACAGTAGAAGCCGTTCTTCCGGTTAAGCCTTAATGCTCTCCCTCACCCCCCGCAAGGGAATTTCTAAAAATCCCTTCTTAGTGTGCATTGCCATGGCTTGCCCTACTAAAACGCAGATAAAAACAAAAAATTGCATCTAAAATAGCACAGTAGAAGCCGTTCTTCCGGTTAAGCCTTAATGCTCTCCCTCACCCCCCGCAAGGGAATTTCTAAAAATCCCTTCTTAGTGTGCATTGCCATGGCTTGCCCTACTAAAACGCAGATAAAAACAAAAAATTGCATCTAAAATAGCACAGTAGAAGCCGTTCTTCCGGTTAAGCCTTAATGCTCTCCCTCACCCCCCGCAAGGGAATTTCTAAAAATCCCTTCTTAGTGTGCATTGCCATGGCTTGCCCTACTAAAACGCAGATAAAAACAAAAAATTGCATCTAAAATAGCACAGTAGAAGCCGTTCTTCCGGTTAAGCCTTAATGCTCTCCCTCACCCCCCGCAAGGGAATTTCTAAAAATCCCTTCTTAGTGTGCATTGCCATGGCTTGCCCTACTAAAACGCAGATAAAAACAAAAAATTGCATCTAAAATAGCACAGTAGAAGCCGTTCTTCCGGTTAAGCCTTAATGCTCTCCCTCACCCCCCGCAAGGGAATTTCTAAAAATCCCTTCTTAGTGTGCATTGCCATTGCTTGCCCTACTAAAACGCAGATAAAAACAAAAAATTGCATCTAAAATAGCACAGTAGACGCCATTTTAGAAAATAGCCACAGTAGAACCCATAAACGTAAAACATACTTTTAATTGCTACAGTTTTTTACAGCAGTGTATAAAAATTAACCAAATATTTTTTATTACGGCGGTTTTTTGGGACAATTAGAAAAGCTGGATGTCAAAATAAACATCCTTTTTTCCAATATTTTTGCAACTACATAATAATATATATTATATTAAGTATGTATTGAAGTATATATATACTGTACAGTACATATTGAACGTAACTGCGAATTAGGACTTCGGGATACGCAGTTCACCTAGCATGGATATTATGTCACGTTGACGACATTTGTGCACACGAGATGCTATATGTGAGAGCTTAAATCCAAATAAGCCAAGTTATACAGGGTGTTTGAAAAAGAATCAACCGATTGAAAAAATCATAACTAGCTTTTAATTCGTTTTGATCGAACGATGTACTGTTAGAAAGAGGAAATTCTCCAGTTTTACGCGGTTGCCCATTGGCAGCACCCACGCGCTTCGTTTACCTGTCGCTTTTGTAATTTCAAGATGGCGACTGGACAACAGAAATCACTTTGAGTTCTACGCTGCGCGAAGTGTTTAATTATCTACTGTGTCATTAGAGAACTAAACATTTCCTCAACGTCTGTCTGGCGTGTTTTGCGGTGACGTTTGATTACGAAACCGTACAGGATTCAATTAATGCAAGCGGTGCAAATAAAGTGAATTATATATTCCCGCTTACTGGAGAATGTGCCCCTTTAACTTCTCCCCGAATATACCCTCCGTCTTTATTTTAGAATGTTCGTTACTACATTAAAAATACTCGAGGTTAATCAAGGCCGTTGAGAACTACCTTTTTGAATTAATACAGAACAGTAAGTTACTAAAAAATACGAAAAAAATCTAGCGAGTTACGTAGCTTCCCCGGCTGTTACGAGATTTTATTTAAAAATTAGCTTTTATATTATTAATCATAATAAATAAATAAATTTGTGTTTGGCGCTATCTGTTGTGAGATTTTGTTATAAAGGTTTTCTATATTTTAAATTATTACAAAATGATAGTACGTTTAATTTTGAGGGTAGGGGTGAATTATACGAATACTCGTATTATTTGCCTGTTATTTTTAAAGCCGATTGTAACCTCCGGTTATTCAGGCGATCACCAGCAAGATTTTTGCTTATGTACTGATGGCGTCAGTATATAAGCAAAAAACAATACGTAAATCTCGGAATCAGAAAATAAACTTAAAAATCGGAAGAAGTTTTCGGGTTACGGCGAAAAAATATTCGGACATTGGTCTTCGTCCCGAGTGTCCCGATTGAAAAATTAATAACGGGTCAATTTACCAAAGGCAAAAAAAAAATTGGCATTTGATTTATTTCTTTTTCTCGTGTTTGTTATTGAAGTTCGGATTTTAATACGAAAACAAAGGGAATTTCGTGTATTCGTTTCGCCATCTGCCGGTTCTCACTTGATTTATTCGCTTTATTCTACCGCAAAAAAAAATAAAGTACCCAGCGGGTAAGTTACGCGTTGTTTATAATAATTGTTTTTTCCATTAAAATCGAGAAGAATACAAATTTCTTTTCTGAAAATAAATTAGAAAAGGCGAACTTTTCTTCCATCTTTTTTTATCCTTGACTTTCGAAAATCCATCAAATATTCATCGATACTCCAACCGTAAAATTGCCGTTCAGAATTTTTGTTTTTCATTAGATCTTCAATATTTATCCGTCGCAATAACAACTAATCGAATCAATAAATTAGGCGTATTTTGAATAGGAAAATAAAATTTACTACGAAAAAACCAATGGCTGCTAGATAATACTTACGCCATTTTCGGTCCGATTCTCCATTAGATTAGATATATGATTTACGAAATTGCTTAATTCTTTCCCCCTCATTTTTACATTGGCTTAATCTTCCTCTCAATCTAGTGTTTCTAATTATTCAACCCATTGTTTTTTTGCTGGCATTAAAAATATATCGTTTAGACTCGGCATCCCGATATTATAAAATGGAATTGTCTCGTTAGATCGATTATACAAGGGTGGATACTTATTGTCCTCTGTTATAGAGTATAGGCTATAGTATTTACGCGTCATTGCCCGTTAGGATAAAGTTGGACGAATCGTATAGCGTATCGACACTAAGGAAACCAAAGACATTAAAGTGCTTTTCTAAAATTTTGTAAATCAATTCTCTTCCGTTTCAATTATCGAAATTACGCTTTATTTTCCTATTTTGTAAAGTTACGTAAAACCCGAGAAACTGGCAAAGTACGAGCTACGATTATTCCGTGCCAGTTAACAGCTATTGATCTATTCTATTGTTTGACGTTAAGAAGGACGAGCGAAAATGCCATTGGCTATAATGTTCTTCGGTCCCGAAATAAATAAACAAAATAAAAAAATAAATATTGAAGTGGTAGAAGTCGCGACTCGGCATTTCTGCAGATAATCGTTAAATTAACTCGGTGGCCGGCGGTGTCGGAAAATACATCTATACCGGATTCTTTATAACGTTCTGTAGGTGTACTGTACTTGGGTACACGTAAAAGTCGGAAGTTCGCGCGCGCCCGGTTTATATAATTTCCCTTCCTCGTTACGCAAATAATTTAACGTAACCGTTTAGGAAGGTGGTAAGATTAAATCCCCGCGATTATTCATTTATTTCGAATAACCAGCCGCGTTTAATTGCCGAACGTAACGAAATGACTCTTTACGTCACGCTTAATCGACGAAAGAGCTCTTCTTCTCCACCTCGGTGGTGTTCGCCGGTAACGAGTTTAAGCCGCAAATTTATTAATTGCGCGGGAGAGGTCGCTAGACAGATTAGAATCGATTTGTAAGAATATTTTATTACAATTTAAATGTGTGTGTATATACAGAATTTGAAAGTAACCGTCCAGAAAGAGCGCGAGTAACGGCATATTTTTCACAACGGGCATAAAGATAGCGCGCGAAAGAGAAATGCGCCGAAAAGACGTAACGTTTACTTCACGTAACAAAAAACGAGATAAAAAATATTTATAAACTATTTTTTTAATAAATATCGTAAACGATAACGCGTAATTAACATCAACAACGATATTGCGTGCGTGCGTGGCTCCTCCGTCGTGGGTTCGACCGTCACCATTGACGTGACAAAGAATAAATTCATATAATTCGAATCGACGATCGTTCACCGAAACGAAAATATTCTTCGATTGTCGAAACAATAAAATCTATAACCATCGCTTCAAATTGGAAAAATAAGTTGCCAGCACGGGTTCGGACCGCGACCTTTTCGCTCCATTTTCCAATTCGAATCCTCCAGCGAGATATGTATTTCTTTTTTCGAAAATTATGGCTGCACGGGGGTAATTTTGAGCAACGTAACTCGACCCGACGGTCTAATAAGCGGCAGTGGTTAAATCTACGCGCGATCCATCTTCTCCTCGTTTAAAAAAATACTCGACTCGATCCGATTAACGTATCGATTGTTAATAATTAAGGCATGTTACGGGTTACAGCACATTTTGACCTTGCGGGGTACGGTTACGGTCGTAGATAATTGTCAAAATAAAAGGTTTCTAGGGACGGGAGAAGCGATAAAACAAACCCAAAACGGAAGAGAAACGGCGAATCGGGTGCTCGTGGTATCTAAAAAGGGGGACGAACACGTGCGGCGAGGAACGGAAAGGCTGTTTTGCCGCATGTGAAAATTATATATTTTCGTATGAAATTTATTTATTTTAACACCCCCCGTCCGCGTCACACTACGCTTATAATTTTGGAATCCTTTTAAAATGGGGAGACTTATATGAAAAAGGGATAATTTCTACACTGTTCGAACCTTCGCCGTAAAACGCCGATTGACGCGCGATTGACGTAATTACCGAAGCCAGCCGTGATTGGTGTAGAAAAGGCGTCCGTACAGCCTATTCGCCAAACCCGAAAGTGGCGACTTTTCCGTTCCGCGCCGCCGGCGCGCATCCCCCGTTCGGATGCGGGGGTGGGCCGACTGGTGGTGACCGTGGGTTTTATTAATCACGTGATTGACGAATTTATTATTATATTCAAAAGACGTCTACTTTTTAAATACAATAAGTCGTATTTAAACGGGATTTAAATCTATGTTTATATACATTATTTTATGTGTTATATTTAGGCATTATATTGTTTAGAACGGGAAAATATTTCCGTTTTTTCTACGATTCTAAAAGGAGAAAGGAAAGGCTTTTTTTTCTAATGGAATAAGATTAAAATTCGAGAGACGAAACGAATGGAAAAAATGGACGATTTTCGGCAACGGAAACGAATCGTCGTTTGATTTCACCTACCCAAAAAAAATGGCCGATAGCTGCCTGCGACGGCCGGAAATTCCGGCGTGACGTAGTCGAAGCCGAAAAGTGTCTTTACCGTTTGATTATTGGCCGGACGTTTCGACGTCACCGGACCTGGTCCCGGGAAGGCTGGGCTCGACCGTCCTTGGTTTAGAAAAGGTTAAAAGAAGAGAAGAAAGGGTGAGGAGAGATCACATGAGTAGCTCCTTGGTTTCGGGTAACTTCACCGAGCAGATGCAACCCACCAGGAGGACGGTGGCCGTGATGAGAATGGGTAGAGCTCGGCTGGACTCGATGGTGCTTCCGAACGTCACGTTGCCCAAAACCGCCGCCAGTCGGCCGATGGCACTGGAGAAACCGTAACCGGTGCTTCTGTGGAGAGAAACCAGAATCGGCGTCACCCTCGGCCAACGCCGCAAATATTTTAAGTACTAAGTCTAAAGTTATTCTAAGACAATGAAAAATAAAACGGGCCACGCGCCCAATCTGTCTCCAGCGGCACCCCTATTATCCAATCCCGCCATTATTCAAGAACTTGGAAAAAATTGGTAACTGCAGCAACTCGATAAGTCGGTGCGATTTCTTTCTATCGAGTAAGTTAGTGAGAGAAAAGTATTGTTATTAATGATTTGTTATAGTGGGGAAGGAAATCTTCGCAGTTATACTCATTTACTGCTTGTGTTCTGATTTGTGTTACCTCTATAAGATCTGGGAAAACAGTACTAACGAGTAAACTATAATATCTATATACTGTATTTATATCAACAAAAGGGAAAAAAGACAATGAATTTAAAACGTAATGAAAGATCTCGTGCGTATGCAAAAGTCACCGGATGACGTAATAAAAGTAGGCGTGCCATTATTCGCATTATGCAAAAAGCATGATGGGATACCGACCGTCCTGTATAAATTTACGAGGGTTTTATTCTCGCGTTTTAAGGCCGTATTTGGTTTTATTCCGGTTTAAATGACACACGGAATATAATTAATGGTTACTTACCATTCGTCGTTACGTAAATAAGTCTTAAACGTCGGTCGGTTATATTTAAAAACAAAATATTAACATTTATATGTCGTAATTCTAACATATATGGAAAATGAAAATCACCAAAATTCTAGATAAAGATCCAAAAGCACGTATAATATTAAACGTTGAAATATTAATAAATGCCGCTATAAATAAGAAAAATTAATAAAAACAAGCAAGATAATTATTGACCGGATTTCTGAGTGACGGCGGTGGTAATGGGGTGGGTGATACGGGGAGGGAGGCTCAATCCTCGTCACTGATGACGAGTAAAGACGACTAATAAAGAACTTTTCGTCTTTCTGCAAAAATAAACAATTGGCCATTCCAACAAACCGTAGAAAGCGGCGGATAAATTTAAAACGGGCAAGTTTCTTTACGGGTTACACTGACGTTAAATGACGTCTCACGTGTTGTTAATGTAAATACAGGCTGGCGTTGTTTGAAGAGAGACGAAAATACAACGAATGCAAATTACGTTAATCAGATTTCCAGAAAAGAGTGACGTTGATAATAATCTTATTGGATCGTTCGTCTTCGTAACCTCCGGTTAATTCCCACCTCGTACAAACAATTTTACTGTTTACGAAGATATATATATTTTTAATAATAAAGGCAGCGCCATCGACTGGCTGTTTGGCCTCCCATAAAATCGCAAGCAAAAATAACCACAAGCGCAAGTTCCCAATCAAAGCCGTAATTGTAAACGATCATAAATGTAATTGTAAGTGTATTTTTTCTCACCAACGTTGTAACTTCGAACCAGGACTTACTATATTTGATGTATATTAAGTAAATATTGTAGTGTAGTAATTAACGTTTGCAATAAATGGGATGCAGCGTAGTCTGAAGAGGAGGAGAAAATGTCGCTACGTCTAACTTAGTTTAAGTCGAATAAAAACTCGCTTCCAATCTTCGATGAAAAAATAATAAAAATACTCTCGAGTATTCCATTAAAGGTAGTAAAAGTTTCCCAAATTGTTTAGCCGTAGGTATGCATTGAACGTATTTTAAACTTAATTTAATTCGAATTTAAATCGAATTAACCACAATACGTTTAGGTTTAGCCTCTTTCGGAAAAAGTAGCAACGAAAGAACGACTGAGTTATCGGGGGATCGAGCGGAAGAAGAGGAAATCCGGTTGGAAAAACGAAAAATTCCGACTCCCGAAACGGATATCGATCCGGGATTTGTGGCCATCCCGGAGGCGGAAAATGTCTTCCTAGCCAATAATACAAAACAAGGTTGAACTCGAGCCAAATGCCAGTCTAACACCCAGCGATAAAGTAACAGAAAACGTATTTGATCTTTATTTTAGCCCTAGGACGTCCAGATTTCCACGTACTAACCTTCGTAGCAATCTTTTTATTTTAAAACCATTTCACAGCTTTACGACAAAGCATTCGGCAAAGAATTTAATCCATTTAGAACTTTTGCGGTAAGAAAGTATACCACAAATTCCAGATTTAAGGGAGAGAATAGAAATATAGATCTCGTGAAATTCGAGTAACATAAAATTCTTAAATGTACGCTAACTCTCTGTGTGTAAAGGCCGATTTCCGCGTGACCGGAAACGGAAACAGGAAACGGAAACGGAAAAATAACTGCATTACGTTCTTCGTTTTCTGTTTAGTTCTATTTCCGTAATACCGGAAAATCGCAAACACAATTAAGTCGATTGTAGCGGGCGGTCTTCGCTAACTTCTTAAGATTGACGTTATTTTTACATTGTTTGTTTCGTTATAGAGGAAAGAATACTTCCCGAATTCTTCTAAAAACAATTCCAATTCTTCTCATCGACTCTCTCCCTTCGAATAGTCCGTCGTTACCCTTAGATACAGAATGAAACGTCACTATTATTACGTCGTAACTCGTAACCGTTATGTTTTTCTATTGGTCGAATTATTTTCTACTCTAGGTTTCCGACGGGGTTTCGGTGGACGGGAAGTGACGTCGCTTTTCCGTTTCTGTTTTCTGCTTCTGGTGTATCTTCCGGTCATGCGGAAAACACTCTTAAATGCTTCTGTATGGGTACAGCGGATGCTAATTACGGTAAGGTGATTAAATCGAGAGGAAAAAGTACAAGTTGTTATTAATCCTACGGATAAACGCTTCCCAGAAGAGAGGCCGAATTTATTTCGATCTTTATAGAAATAAAAGTCGACTTATTTACGTATTTATTTGGAAAATACTTACCTCAAAGAAACCGGATAGGCTTCGGTTGTTATGACGTCGATGGCATTCCATCCCGAGATGGAGACGAAATTAAAAATGGCTTGAAAGGCCACCACCGACATTTGTGACGTCGCCAGCCAAAGGAAAAATACAGAGAAACTCGAAAGAAAGAGAGACATTCCTGTCGAAAGAAAAGACTGGGTTAGACACAAAAACATTCTTTAAATTACTTCAGAAAGTTTTCATTAGCCAGCGCCTAGATCGGAAAAGAAGGTGAAGATACGTAGAACTCACCGATGGTCTTGACTCTGCCGAGTTTATCGAGGATGCAAGAAGAGATGATGTTTCCGGGGATGATGGCCAATTGAGCGATGAGATTCTCTAGGAATACGCGAGATAATTTATAATTTACGTCGAAATCGATGGTGCAGCCGGCTTTGGTACTGTACAGCGCGGAATTTTCGAACTGGCAGTCCTGCAACTTGTAATCGTAAAAGTCCGTGTCGACGAAAACCACGTTCCTGAAAGTAGATTGTCGGAAATACGTTCTGCTGGATCGAACGTCGCTGAAGGAACAATTGTAGAATAGACACGACACGAAGGTGCAGTGATTCAATAACATGCCGCTGAACTTGACGTCTTGAAACTTACTGTATAAAAAATGTTTGTTTTCCAAGGTGTAATTGAACGTGATGTTGTGGAAGGTCAGGTTTGTTTCTCGAACAGACTTGGTGTTGTAGATGTCCTCTTCCAGTTTTCTCGTGTACTCGGGAAACCACATCTGAAGGCCGTAGAAACTGAAAGGTGGCAGAAGCGCCGATTAGCGCGGAACGTGGATTAAATACAAATAATTTATACGGTTACCCGAAAGAGGTGGTGGACCACACGATCAGGAGCACCACGGTCAAGGTGGTGTGCGGGGGCAGGAATATGCGAACGAACGAAGTCCAAAACTGGCAACGAAAAAAAAGCCATTAGAGTATTTTACGTAAGTGGAGCGCAAGAAGGATGGAAGATTTACCGATTCCAAGGCCGCGCATAATTCGTTAATAAGGCCTCTGTTCGAAGGGCCCATCATAGAACCGCTCTGGCGTCTGGCGGGTAATTCCATTTCCGAGAGCTGAATGGGAAGAGAGGCGCACTGGTACCGATGAGAATCTCATTTCGAAGACGTTAACGTACCTTTCACTATCTTTTTGTAGGTACTTACCTGGTATTCGGCTCCCGGCTTGTTGATGTGGTTCATCTTGAATATTTTCTGGTATACGTACATGGCCTCCACGTCTCTTCCCGCCTGAAAAAGTAAGCGAAATCAGACACGCACCATTTAAACAGAAATTAAATTCTCCACGTATCGATTAACGGTGTAGAGAAAACACAACGTCATTTACTAGTCGATCGATTTTTATATCTACCTCTAGTAAATAACGCGGACTTTCGGGAAGAAACACCATTCCGATGAGGGAAATGACGGACGGGACGGAGCATATCAACAGGAAAACTCTCCAACTGCCAAAGTGCAACCTTCTAGAATTCATCAGCGTCAAACCTGAAAGAAAAAGTCCTTAATTGTAATCCGAACTTTCGTTAAACGGTACCAAGAGTTAAAATATAATCGAGGCTAACGTTTAGAGGTTAACTAAAAAATGTAGCTACCAGTTTTGGGGACGATTCCCCAAGCCATGACGGCCACGAAAACTCCCCCGATGGCCCAAAATATGAGCAACCAACTGAGATGTCTGCCCCTGTGCTTCTTCTGCAGAAATTCGCTGTAGTAAGTAAACACGATGGGTAACGATCCTCCTATTCTGAAATCGAAACACACCATTTATCTTTAACTTCTTTCTCGATTTTAACGTTATTTTTGCTTAGAATTTCAAAGGAGAATAGTCTATTGTCTGTTCTGAATGGTTTTCTAAATCGACCACGTATTCAAAACCGAAAAGGCTAGCGGGAATTGAAGAACGAGATGGTAATTAAGTACTTACCCTATTCCGCTGCACAATCTGGTGACAACAAAGAGCCCGTAAGTGGGCATGAAAGCGGTGATGACTGAAAAGACGGCATTGGTGGAGAGAGCGGAGAGTAGTGTGCGTCTTCGACCCAATTTGTCGGCCAAATTTCCCCAGGTTAGACCCCCTATCATCATTCCCAGGAAGGTTACGCCCCCTGAAAAATATCCGAGTAACGTTAAAATAAGCCGACAACGTACACCCGGACCAAGCCACCTTTCCGATAAACCCGAATGCTTTAACCGGTAATGGTAAGACCCCGATTTAACGAAGAGTTCGTAATTAGAAGTAGCATCGAGAACGAGTTTTATCGCAGAAAATCTCGCCTTCAACCGAGTGTCGAACGAAATAAAACAAGTAAAATTTCCTTACTTTGTAACGAAATTTCCTTACAAAGTAAAGAAATTTCACTTGTCTTCCTCAAGGAAAACAGAAGAAATTTACACGCTCAAATTTTGTCTGAAGTGTTCCTGAAGTGTTCTTTAGGATACTTTACACCGCCGCTTCCGATATCGCGAGCGACGTAATTACCTCGCGTGACAAAGGCACTCGTCCTTTCCTCGCTTTTCGAACTATCCGATCTAAAAATAAATCGCGCTGTAAAGTTCCTATCCAATTCGCGCTGTAAAGTTTCGAGGCGAAACCGATCCCAGGGCGAGTTTCGCTCGGAACCAAACTTTACGGCGAAACAATCCTGCCGCGTCGGAAAGGCGAGAGAAGCTATTCGTTCGACCATCGTCCGCCACGACGCGCGAGAAACGTAAAACTCGCTTTCGGAAGTCGCCGACGTCGGAGCGGTTATACGAGAGAATTACGAGCGACGGCCAACGGACGATTTCGGGATATTATAAAGCCCCGCCTTCTCCTATTTCTCACAACACAAAATACAAACGTCACTCGTTCGGCTATGATTTAGGTTTTGTCACTTTCTAGCGCGGTAGAAAATAAAGTCCGTTTCCACCGATTAATTTCTCGCGACGGCCGACAGATTGTTTAGATTTCTGTCGTTCGTGGCCAACGAATTGATATAACGCCGCTGATTAGCGCGACGTAAGAGATAATTCGAAATGCCGTTTGCCATCGAGGCCGAGGTGGCTCTTTATCGCATTTAAATAATCCGCGAAAGGTTAATGGGAGACTCACCCAGCCAACCTTTGTGGTACTCTTCCATGCAGAGCTCCCTCTCGGCGCTGGGGATGACGTAGGCTACGACGAACACCTCGATGGAATCGGCGGCCAGACCCAGTCCCGCCACCACGAACACCATCCACTGGAACACGCCGTAGCCCGCCTGAAACGATACAAACACTCTTTTCTGTCGAAATTCGGCTCTTAAGGGCGGGATTTGGCCGTTACGTAATTAGCGCTCTTCCCTCGGAGGCGGAAGACTCGGATTCTTCGCGCTCCATTGATCCTCACCCGTCCGAACAGAAAGGTATACGTCGCGAGTGGAGACACGCCCGACGTTAAAGTTCTCGCCGCGACGATTATTACCGCTTCTGAATGCCGCGCGCGCGATCTCTCGCCGATAGACGTCGCGCGTAAAAAGAAATATTCCGTGTTAGGGTGCGACTATTCAGACGCGAATTTAGAGCGAGCGAGAGGTTGCGAGCGATTTAGTTTTCGCAAAGGAAAACCATGCACAAACGAGAAGCGAGAAATAACGCTGGCGAGAGCGAATTTCTGGTTCTCGCACATATCTGACTCTTCTCGCCACATATTCTCGCTCGCTCGGAAAATTCGCTCGCTCGCGTCTGCATAGTCGCACCCTTAGAGTCTTGATTCCTCGGGGCGAGGAATCGGAAACGGAAGCGAGGAAAAGGAGAAGAGAAGGAAATTCCTCACCTGCGTCAGAGCATCCTGATGAAACTGCGACAGCAGCGAGACGTCGGTGTCGACGAAATCAGTCTCCTTGACGTCGTCTCGATCCTCCTCCCGTCCCGATCGACCCGATTCTTCGGTGTAAGACCCGACGGGCAGAGCTTCCCTACTCACCAGAGACACGTTCTCAGATTCGTCTCCGGGTTGAGGCATGACGTCGGATTCTTATCTAAACAAAAACAATGCGCCGCTAAACTTCCAGATCCACCTCTAATCGGCGTGGTTTAGTCGCTTTCTTACGCTTAATTAACCACGGAGCGCAGTCGCTATCGGACCATCGCCGACGATCCGAATCTTTTCCTATCGGCGCGTTATATCCCCCTCCCCCTCCGCGTACCTATAAAGTAAGATATAAAGCGCGTATCGATTTTCTCGGCGGCAAAGATTATAAAAATAGACGTATCCGAGAAGTACGCCATACCTTTCTCCCTTTGTTCTACGCGTGTTTTCCGTTTCCGCGCGTTTTTTTCCAGTTAGCACGTCATCCGCGGACGGAGCGGAATTTCCGCACCGATTTAACGACGGGCCCGGATTTAATATACTAATTCCCGGTTTACCAGGGTGGTAGGAAAACTCGTAAACGGGGGAAACGACGTCACGCCTTTGATTCCGATAGGCGAGAGAGTGGCCGCTTCTTTAGGAGTAGGGAACGTTCCCGGATATAGTTTGCGTGCCGCTGGCATTAATTGGAGTTAGGGCGTTTCTTATTTTTCCGAGTAGAAGGGCGAAAAGACGTGAGGCTTTTGCTAATGTAGTGGACGATTGGCATTCCGGGTCCGGAATGCGTGAAGAACGAAAGGCTAGCGGTTCTTCTATTGGTGACTTTCTATCGAACACTTTATAAATAGCCCGGGCAGGTAGGTGTTAGGGCGCGTGGATTCCTTTGTTTTTTCGGCAAGATTAAAAATACCACCACCAAAAACGCCGGTGGACCATCCTTTTTTGGTCTTCTTTCCGCGCAAACTCCGGTGTTTAACGTCTTCACTATTGTTTGGAAGCGGCGAATATTAAAAAGATGGCCTCCCCCATCGGGTTTTTATCCGTTTCGAAGAAAGAAAAACGCGCGGCCTGTGTCTATCCGGAGAATTGCGCTGGGAAAAATTGGAAAGCGTCCAAACGTTAGGAATTTCCTAACGAGTTTTCGCGGCCGAAGGGGCCCCGCCCGATTTTCGAAGTCGTAAAAGCGGGCGATTTTTGCTCCCCAACCGGGTTCGAGGGGCCGGCGGAACCTGGCGCAGTCGTTTTGGAAATTAGCTCCCGTCGCCGGCTCCGTCGCGGAACGGATGCGCCGCGCGGGAAAGACGGTTTTACGGGGGCGCCGCCGCTGCCGCTGCCGGCGTACGAACCCTCGACCGTTTGGCCGGGCGCGTGACGGTGGAGAATGGCCACTGGGGGGAAAACGGGAGATCGATCGGCAGCCCGGGCGAGAGAAACGTTGTGGAAAAGGCAAATCTGCGCCGGTAGAGCCGACCAAACCGACGCGTGTCGGCGCGGTTTCTTCTTGCGGAGAACCGGAGTCGGGGAGGAGAGAGGTAAAGGCGCGCGCCCCACTCACCTGTCGTTACCTGAGCAGTACGGAAGGCGCGCTCCGACGCGTACGTCCATCAGACGGAAGCGGCCAGGTAGATCCGTCCGACCGGCTCGGTCACGTGTGTCGTATCCGACGGCGGCGTTGGGAATCGGCGTAGTCGACGTCGACCGGCGGAGGGCGCCACCGACGCCGCCGGAAAATCGGGAGGGCGGAAGGTCCGAACGGCGCCGATGGACGATCCCCTTATTTACGGACATCAAGCATTTCCGGTTAACGGGTTTTTAGGAACCGGAAAACGGCCACTGCGATCGAAGGAAGCGAAATCTATCCGAGGGGGGTGAAAAAATGCGGTTGCCACGACGACGATCAAAACAATGGCCAACGGTACACCGGCCGTTAAACGTTTACGTATCCAAGTTTCTACTCGGTTCTGACCCCCCCTTTTTGACGGATACCGATGGGAAAGCGCGCTTCCTCCCTTTTTGTGTGGAGAAGAGCGTCTAGTTTCTAGAGTGACTAGAAACGGCACCGGAGTATGGAGTTAAAGTCGCTATTCTACGATGGAGTTAATAAATAATAAAATGAATTTTACCGAAATTCGATATTGGAGTCGATACGTCAGTCCGGCGGATTTAAAACCACGATAGCATCCGACATTTTGGGCGAGGAAGTCCAAAATACCGGTGGCGGATATGGAAGAGGGGGAGAGGAACGGTAGACTGCGGGGATACCAAGAACCCACCCTCCCTTTCCAACGACATATTAATCATTTAAAAAAGTCGGGGGCGGTCGATCTTCTTCCTTAAAAAGCGTCGTCTTCCATTTCGCTCGACAGATGGTGCGCTAATAGTTTAGCGCGCGCTACGTCTCTCCCCCTCGTCCCCAGCTTTGCCAGATTCTACGGACGGGCTCGTCGACCGATTTCTTTCTTTTTGTTTTGTTAGGCTCTGTCCTGTTGGATTCTTAATATCCCCCATGGAGGAAGAGCGAAGAGTGACCGGACCTCCCCCGTAAGTTTACGACTTGTCATTTAAATATGTCAACCGCGCGTATTTTAGAAGTCGGCCGTTCGTTTGTCCGATAGTGATTATAACTGGTACCTTCGGTGTTTTCTATCGTATCGAGTTCGTACGGATAGAAAGGAGGAAACGCGAAACGAGGTTTGTTAATGGAACCACTCCGTCACGTGATTCGCGATGAAAATACCGCAATCACGTCACGTCTTCTCTTAGTTTTCTTCCGTTAAATCGTATTTGGAAATAATTACACGGACGACATCTTTTAATTTTTACCGTTTCGTATAGGGAAGGAAACGGTTACTCCATTTATATCGTAGACGACGCGCGGACTTCCATCTACGCGATCGTATCGGTGTTTGCACCATCGAATCTTCTCCTAATCAGAGAGATGCCGATGCAATTGGAAGCCGAAACTTTAATGGAAAAGTGCAGATTCTCCATCTCTCACTCCCTGGCGTGAAACTCCCAATTATTTTCTTTTAATTTGGAAATTTCCTTTCCGATTACAGTCGGGTCTTGCGCGTGAAAAGCGTAGAAAACGTGCTGCGAATTTCTTATACGTTTGTCTGGGTTATCGACGTAATTAATGCGTGGTAAACGTGGCGGTTCTGTATTTTACCACGATTTAAAGCGGAGAATAACAATATTATCGAATTTTAGCAAAAGGCATTCCTTACCGAGTCTTAGCCAATTGTAGACACGGAAAATAAGCCAGCCCGCGGGGTGAAGAGAGCCGGTAAAAATCCGGAATCCGTGGTGATTCGTAATTAAAGAAAATGGCCACTCCTTTGCCAAATTGATAAACTTGGCCTGGTCCTAACGGCATATTTTATATTTACAACCTCTTCGTTTATTATAAACGAGTGGGTAAACTAAACGCCATCGATCCGAAGCGACAAATTCGTCGTAATTAATTTGCATTTTATTATCTCCAAGATTTAATGGATTCTTGATGACTTTTATCATATTTGCGGGCTTCCCCTCCGTGAAATTTTTGAATATACTCCATTGGCATTTACAAACAATTTCTATAATCCATTAAATATTAAAATATCGTCGACTGTAACTAAATACAATAAACGTTTACAATTTATTGATGAAATAAAATGATGCCGGGCTGCAATATTTAATCATATTATTAATTTAATTTAAAATATATGCTCTCCATCTCTAATTAATAGTGTCTCGCCCCTGTACGTTGTACTTTTCCCGATAACAACAGAGTCGTGCCGGTCATCCGTAACTCCATTCTAGAGAAAATGTTTGAATTGAAACCACGTAATTTCGGTTTATATCGGAATATTATATAGTTAATCGGGGTTTATATCCCCTAATCTTTCCAAATCTGGTCTCCACTTTCAGCTATCTAACACCTTTCTCGAGATTAAGGAAGGACAGACGGACAGACGTATGACAGTGGGATTTATAGGCCTACCCTTTTCCAAATTGCAGTCCAATGAAATTTCTTCGATAGTGATGGGTAATTTCGTAATTAAAATAATCGAATGGAAATTATTTTCTTCGTGTTGATAGTTTATTTATCGATTTTTTATCGAATGTAACGCCATAAAATTTCCATCGTCCGTGAACGAATCGTTATTTTCGTCGATAATAACGAAATTAACCGGGTTAAGGCAATCGTGTCCAATGTATTTCTACTTCTCCATTGTATAGCGCGTAAAAAATAACACAGAAGCCGATTTCTGTGTCATTTTTAGTAAGAATTTTAAGTCGTAGGTCCTTTAAAAGCGTAGAAACCCAGCGATCGTTATCACGTTTATAACACGAACGGGACGATTACAAAGTATACTACAGTACAGAACTAATTAAAAATAATATCCGAGGAACACGCCTGTACGAGGAGTTAAAGTCACTCGATAGCCACATTCCAAAAGATTAAAACTCTCGTTCGAGAAATCACGTCTTTAAAGGTAAGTACACGTAAAGCGCTTTGTCCCATTTGCATTATTTATTACACAATACGGGACAGAAAATCGTGTATTCGGCTACAAACCGAAGGGATTTTTTTTAGCAATCGTCAATAGGGGAAAAGGTAGGAAAGAGTTTCTAAGAAACACTATCTCAGACAAAGACAAACGTGCTTAAGTTACTTAAAGGACATTTTAAGATGCTAAGTGTACTTGGATGTTAACTACGATTCTTTGGAGTTCGGCACAAAAACTACCATTGTAATGTTTAAAATACAAACGATTCCGGCTATCGATCCTTCTTCAGGGATTACAAGTAGAATTATTGAAGAGAAGGGATCAATGCCAATTATCTAACTAAAGTTAACGGTTCTCGAGAGAATCTCGAAGACTCCAACGGGCTACGTCGGCGGAATTCTTATCAAAGGGAATAAATCGAAGGTAACTTCGAGGATTACCTTATCGATTCGAAGGGAAGATAAGAGGTAACGATTTAAACTTCGTCGCCTAATAATTTACAATATTTAAACAACAAACTAGCGTGTTTTTTCGTTGTTTTATCTTCTTCCTAGAGAAAGAGCCAACAATTACTCGTCTTTCGACCTTTCTGAACGGATTCGTCCCGAGAAATGACATTTCCAAACAATAAACGATTTTCGTTAATCTAAAAGAAATTCTAATGCGTTATACCCCATTTTCTGTAACTCCACCCTGCATCCGCTATTATCGAATAAATACTGAAAATTATGGCCGATCCACGTGCGTCCACAGAGGGAGACAAACCAGGCACTTCTCCTCCCTTGGGAGCGAATAAAAAATTCCACAAATTATAATTGTAAAAGTGATCGAGAAACGTAACGTTACACCCTCTACCACGGACGTTTTGTCTATTTTGGTTGTAGTGTTCGTCCGTCGTCTGTCCGTTTGTCCTTCTTTAATCCCGAGAATGGAGTTAGATAGAGAAAAGCGAGACCACATATTGAATGATTAGTGGTACGAGGCCCCGATTAACTATATATGAACTTCCATTCTGTTAGATAGAATAGATGATCGGCACGAAAAGTTAAGAGGAAAAGTATGATGTACAGGGGTAAGAAGTACTAAAATCGAGATGTAGAAAATTGCAGCACACACGGTTACGACGTCACAATAAATATTTGCCGGTTTTTATTTCAAATTATATAAGAGACGTTAATAAAACACTTAAATGTAATCTACAGATTAGCGTTTTTATTGTATTTAGTTAATTATCGTTAAAGAAGTTCGTTTCCGGTCGATATTACCTTAAACTTCAACGCATTTTATAAGCGCGGATCGAAAAACTTCATTCGAGATTATTTTATTTTCGGTTTTAAATCTAATTCTATGATTTTTTACTAATTTAAAACGATAAGAAATTATTTTAAAGTTAATAAAGCCCGGTTAGATTAGATAACCTTTATAAGTTTACACTACCGATGCCGAGACGTAATAAAACTAAACTACATTTTAAAACGGTATTTTATGGACGGGTCGTTTAAATTTTCAATAAAACTAGTTTCAAAACTCGTCACTCGTATATTTATACCTCATTAATATTTGCTATAAAATCAATTAACGCAATCGTACGCGTAACGTATACAGGACCGTACGGTAAGTTGGTCCTGTATGCGTGTTCGATGAAGGACGGTCGACAAAACAATTAAAAATAATAAAACAATTCAATTAAAAACGATACAGTTTAAATACAGGAAGTATTAATAATTCGACTTTAAAGTGATTAGTACGACAAAGGGCAAAGCTACACGTGGCTACACGTGTACCGGTACACCTGTCAGTTCTGTTCAAGTAACCCGTCAGATGTTACCCGGCTTAAGGAACGTACTGTATGTTAAAATAAGAAATAAAATGTAAAATACGAAACTAATTAAAGAACGTATCAAGTGTAAATTTAATAATAAAGGTATATAAATATCTACACATTCTTACAACACGATAAATTATAATGTATTACAGAGTAAACGAGAAGGTATCAATTGTTTTTTGTTTTATTTTAAAGGGTATAGAATATACACTATTTATTCAATCAGAAGAGTAAAAACATTTCTTTGTTGTACTGCGAACTTCTTACGTACCGTACAGTACAAGAGGGAACGACTTCCAAATAATAAGACATTGGACAAAATTTCTCTGGTACGACCGATTTTA